CGCTGCAGACCACGCCCCGCCACAGCTCTGCAGTCAAACACAAGCTGACTGCAGCCACTAACAGTGAATAATATTAAACTCTCACTAAAAATCATCTCTGTTCACAAGTTTCTAGATTTCTTTTTTATAAGACTAAGACTGGACTTTAGTTTTCCATGTTTGGCGTTCACGTTCTGGTTGCTTTTTTGAAGATGTGCTGCAGACGAATGAAGCAGTCGAGTGCAGCGGTCCCCAACCTAAAATCCACAGATCGGTTTAATGTCAGACACTGTTTTCATGGACTGGCTATTAAGGTGTCGCAGATAAATACAACAAAATAAAATGATACGACCGAGACAAAAACTGTGGTGTTTTGTAAATATAATAATAAATGCAAATTCTCTGTGTAATTGTGTATCTTTATTAGCAGCGTCCTCCTGAGATGCACCAACAACACTGAGAGTAACATCCTCCTCTCTGCCCCTTAATGCTCGCTGGTCGCTATGGTAATGCATAAATATTTATTTCAAAATAAGACACAACTACAACATGGGAAAGACCCAGGGAACCCCAGTTAACGATAAAAACCCTGAAAACCATCAATTTCACACCTGAGCCTCAACTCTCGCTTCCCGGTACCAAACGACTCACGGACTGGTACCGGTCCATGACCCGGGGGTTGGGGACCGCTGGTCTAGTGACAAAAGTTACAAATAGTTGTTTGAAATAAAAGTTGTTTATTTAAAACAGAAATGACTGAAAGATTCATTGTGAATGAGTTTATTATGTAAATAAAGTTGCAGCTTGGCTTTTCTGTCATTGTTTGTTTAGATGGGGGTGAAAATGTTTCTTCCTGCCCCGAGAGAACCACTGGTCTGGGAGTAGGGTTGGTTTTTGGTGACAGTCTCACCTTTTTATAGAATTTTCACCCCTTTCACACTCTCATGCTTCGTGCGATGTGGTTAAAATGAAACCCAAACCTGAGCCTAGTTATGCTGCTGGGCGAGGTTTCCTTTTCGAAGCACACTGTCTGAGGCCGCTTGACAAGGCAACATATCAGAGCAATGGCACTTGCTAGGATCCAATATTGAGACTAATCTGATGTAAAATATTGGACGTGACAGCTTCTTAAAGTTATTGTGCGCCTCGCTACAGCGCATTTGTTTATGCTCCTGCCACCCATGGAATTAAGGAAAACTGGGAGCTGCACTCAATTCAATTCATTTCAATTCAATTTTATTTATATAGCGCCAAATCACAACAAAAGTCGCCTCAAGGCACTTCATAGATACAGAGAAAAACCCAACAATCATATGACCCCCTATGAGCAAGCACTTTGGCGACAGTGGGAAGGAAAAACTCCCTTTTAACAGGAAGAAACCTCCGGCAGAACCAGGCTCAGGGAGGGGCGGGGCCATCTGCTGTGATTGGTTGGGGTGAGAGAAGGAAGACAGGATAAAGACATGCTGTAGAAGAGAGACAGAGATTAATAACAGATATGATTCAATGCAGAGAGGTCTGTTAATACATAGTGAGTGAGAAAGGTGACTGGAAAGGAAAAACTCAATGCATCATGGGAATCCCCGGCAGCCTACATCTATTGCAGCATAACTAAGGGAGGATTCAGGGTCACCTGGTCCAGCCCTAACTATATGCTTTAGCAAAAAGGAAAGTTTGAAGTTTGATCTTGAAAGTAGAGATAGTGTCTGTCTCCTGAATCCAAACTGGAAGCTGGTTCCACAGAAGAAGGGCCTGAAAACTGAAGGCTCTCCCTCCCATTCTACTTTTAAATACTCTAGGAACAACAAGTAGGCCTGCAGAGCGGGAGCGAAGTGCTCTAATAGGGTGATATGGTACTACAAGGTCATTAAGATAAGATGGGGCCTGATTATTTAAGACCTTGTATGTGAGGAGCAGGATTTTGAATTCAGTCACTCAGAGATGGTGCCTGGTCTTTTGACTGAAAATTTCCTCCAGTCAAAGCGTAAAATTCCTTTTTGCTGGAATTCTGTTTCCGTCACGCATCTGTTACCTACTCTGCTCAACTCGGCTTTTAGGGTTTTCCATTAGGCGGTAATACCTGGTACAGGGTACTTTTTTGGAGCCTTCAACAGGGTGCATACTGCTGATTGGCCAGCCAGTGACATCACTGTAGTCATGAGAGCCACTCCTTCACAAGAATCAAACCCACCAACAAGGGAAGTGGCTGCATACAAACTTCCTTTACCCAGAGTCTGACAACAGCTGAGCAGCAGGTATACCATCACCTTGTGTTATGATGATGTCACGGGCCTTGCTGTAACAACCCCACCCACAGTGAGGTGGTATTCAATCATAATGGAAAAGGACCAAAATTAGAGTCCATGCGAGTTGAAATGAGGAGGTGCTAATGGAAAAGAGGCTCGAGTTCTTCCTCATCGTGTTGGTATATTTGTAAACTCTAAAAACCAAAAGTCCTTTCTGAGTGAGAAATGTAAAACTCGACCTTGTCAGAGGTTGATCGTGTCTTGTTTACAGGTTTCCAGACTTTTCTTTTAGACTTGTTGTCTCTCACACTCGAGTCTCCCGTGACTTTGCAGGAATCCGAGTAGGCCTAAAACTCGTGAGCAGCTTTACGTTCAGCTACTGCGTTTGCTTTCTTTCAGATTACTTGGCCCAGATCGTCTCCAAGTCTCACCTGGAGACATGTCAGTACCTCAGGGAGGAGCTGCAGCAGATGAGCTGGCAGAGCTTCCTTCAAGATGAGGTGGAAAGCTACCAGAGCAAGGTGTGCTTAAATATGTCCACCCATGAATCCGTAAAGCCAAAAGCCTAGCGTCAGGTGATGGTGGCAGCAGGATAAGCGGGGTAGTTTATCCATTTCTCTCCTCAGTACCTTTATTTAGGTCCCCCTGGAGAATCCTGCTGCGCTCCCTTTAGATATAAAATCATTTAGCATGTTCTTAACTCCACGCAGAAAACATCCAAAACACATCTGAACTGGATTCTTTGACCTATATCTAGGGGAAGCAGTAATACTTTGCTCCAGTAATATTTTTTTTATTTTAAGCCCGTTTATATTTTCTAGAGACGGTTAGATGTTCCACTTTGACAAATTCTTAATTCTCTTTTGTTGAGCTTGTTAAACTCTTGCTGCTCTGGTGTACGCAGCCTCAGGAGGTGATGTGGCAGCTCTGTGCTGTGAAGATCACAGAGGCCATTCAGTATGTGGTGGAGTTCGCTAAACGCATCGACGGCTTCATGGATCTGTGCCAGAATGACCAGATCGTACTGCTGAAAGCTGGTGAGAGCACAGATTGGATTCATTTTCAATTAGGTTTTTTTTTAAACTTGTGAAAAGCACAACAGCGACATCTCAATAATCCAGATAAGGAAATCCCAACAAGTCGATTTAATGCGCCGAGTGTTTTCAGCTGGAGGAGCCTTTCCTCTCCGTTTGTGTCCTCAGCATCTCCTCGTTTTCTCTGCCAGGCTCTCTGGAGGTCGTCCTTCTACGAATGTGCCGAGTGTTTGACTCGCAGAACAACACTGTCTTCTTCGATGGGAAGTTTGCAGGTCCTGAAGTCTTCAAAGCTTTAGGTGAGCAGAGTTCATTTTCTACTGAGGTGTCATACATAAGCTCCAATTATAAATTAAAACCCCAAATTTATAAATTTTAGGGTTAAAATAAATTAAAAGTATGAATTAAAAGTATAGATATTTGTGTGGGCAGTGCTACTTTCTAACAGCTGATAATAATCTGTGCTAATGTAGAAAGTGTGGTCGGATCTACTTATAACTGAGATGTGTCAAAACTCTACAGGTGTGCCCCTATAGCACAGTCAGCTGACTGGACACAGTCACTCAAACTACTTCTATTTCTAAATATGAGGATTTTATAAGTGCCAGTGCAGCTCACAGGTCTGGGCCGGTATCCACACACATTCTGAGAATCCTTTCAGAGAGTTTCTAATGTGGGCATGGAGGTGCAGTGGTTAGCACTGCCACCTCACAGCGAGACCAAGTGAATAGTTCAAAAAGTCAGCCGTCTCTCCAACCTCCCCTCCATCTCTAACTGTCTGCAGGTGGAGAAGGAACATCCTCTGAGGCTTAAACACTGCAGATATTCTTCTTCCTCCAGTACTGTTACACTTGGTTCTTCTGCCATTTTTTCCTCTCCTAAAGAAACTCTTAAGCCTCCTAAAAGTCTCCCTAGCCCCTCCTAACGGTTTTTCACTTCAGGAACTCTCTTAAGGGCTCAGACGCTTTGTGAATAACTTTTATCTCTACCAAGATTCAGTGCTACCTTTCAGGGGAAATATTTTCTTGGAATTTCATCACTACAGACTTCTCTTAGTACTTGGAAGATTTATCTGTTCCTGTATTGATTCCTGAGAGTCGGGTGGGGTCGTGTAACGCAGAAACAGAGTTGGAAAAAAGCCTCAGGTGTGCAAAAGCTGGTGCTGTCCTTGTTTTTCCGCTGATTAAAGGGGTTTGTAAGGTCGGACACATGTGGACCAGGGGGCTTGTTTGGTTCAGGTTCCTGGTTTTCATGTGTGGAAAAGTTGGTGTAGCATGTGACCTGAGCAATTAACCCTGCTCAGAGTAATACAGGAAGTAATGTCACATTTCCATCAAGCTTTCTTCCTGATTTTTCATCCTTTCCTGTGTGCCCTCTGAACAGAGTGCAATCAGATGCCTGCTTTTCTTTCTTTCTCAGACTAAAGTTTGAACGCTCGTGCAGCTGCTTTGACTTGCAGCCTGCCACAGAGGAAGACCGTGCCTCAAAATCACCTCCTCCTTCTCTTTAGTGCTTCTCTTTGACTGAAGATGCGTTTTTTTAACATTTTTAACTACTCCAAACATCTCAAGATGCATCAGAAAAGAAGCCACCCCAAAAAAAGTAACAGGGAACGTTTGGCTGATTCTTTGGATCATTGATCACAAAAGCACAGGAATGATGTCGCAGTTCTTGTCTGTTGGATTGTCTTAAATAATAAAATATGTGTTGATGTGATAATTACATTTTCTACAACGCTACTGATGCAATCTGACGTTTCTGTTGGCCTCTGTAAGTCACTGAGCATGTTTCCGGTGTTTTCGTGTTCTCCCAGGCTGTGATGATTTCATCACGGCGGTGTTCGACTTCGCTAAGAGCATGTGCTCGCTGCATCTATCAGAGGACGAGCTTGCTCTCTTCTCAGCGTTCATTCTGCTTTCTGCAGGTACGTCCTTCCTTCACCACCTGATCAGATGTTCTACACCGACTTGTTGAGTTAAATAACTGTGTGTGTGTGTGTGTGTGTGTGTGTGTGTGTGTGTGTGTGTGTG